AATAAATTTTACCCCTATTTAAAATTAGTTACTTCATCAGGATAACCGAAGATTAATGTTTCTTCATTATAATTTTAATATTTCTTTTTCTTGTTTTCTTGTTATCTTGTTATTTCTTTCTGTTGAGAAAAATACAAAAAAAAAGTATTAAAGTTTTAGATTACGTTAACACAAAATAGAACGTTGAACACAAATAAGATCAAGTTAGAAATTCACTGGTATCAATTTATGCTCACCAATTTCCCGATAATAAGAATAAAAATATAGGAAAGTTCGTGCGTTTCACACAAATTACACGTTTTCACAACGCTATAAGTTCAATACTACATACTTTTCACTTTCTTCCCCTCGATTTCTTCTTAATATTTCAAGCCAGTACGACACGCTGTTGCTCACAAGCACCGTTTCCTGTGGCGTGTGTTCGCATTTTCACACCAGAGAGCCCGTTGCTTCTAAATTTGTTCACTGCTTATCTCGTTTTCGGTTTAGTCCCGACTTACGCAGAAATCGCGTAGAAATGTTTAAATAATATTGGGTTGGCGACTAAGTAATTGCCGATTTCAGTTATAAATGTCTCTCACTCCCATTTTTATGATATTCGTAAATGTTATATTATAAAATTATTATTATTATTATTATTATTATTATTATTATTATTATTATTATTATTATGTTATTTTTTATTATCCGTGAATGTTAGCAACTGGACAAATTGAATGCAGCGGTCAAGGAAAAGCGACCAGAATTGGTCAATTGTAAAGGTGTCATTTTCCACCAGGACAATGCTAGGCCGCACACGTCTTTGTCCACTCGGTAAAAATTGATGGATATTGGTTGGGAATTGTTGTTACACCCACCAGATAGCCCTGATCTCGCGCCATCGGATTACCACTTATTTCGATCCCCGGACAACTCCCTTCGTGGTAAAACTTTTAACGATGATGACGCTGTAAAATCTCACTTAACTCAGTTTTTGGCCGAAAAGGATCAGACTTTCTACGAGCGCGGAATTTTCAAGTTGTCAGAGAGATGGCAAAAGGTCATCGAACAAAATGGAAAATACATTACAGATTAAACTTCATTCCAAGTAAAAAAAAATTTCTTATTTCATTGAACAAATCGGCAATTACTTAGTTGCCAACCCAATATAAAGATATTTTCTTCGCGACCGCTGTATAAACCTAATATTCATAATAATTCGTCCAATTGAAACTGATCATAAATTGGGACATGATCCGAAATTGGGATATTACGACACGTTCTTCCTTGCCATAACAGATTTATCGTCGAAAGCAACGAAATTCCCGGAGCATGGGACCGATAATTGACACGGATGCGCACAAGATCGGTATAGGACCGCCCGAACCCAGTCTGGCGAGAAAAAAGGAAGCGGGCCCGACGCCGCGGATAGTCAGAGCAGAGAGAAAGTATTCCGCGGCTAGCAAAAACTCGGCATCGACATGTCGATCGAAAGAAGTGTCGCTAATTTGATGTAGCCGGTGTATACGGTGGATCGTATGGCGGAGTGGTTTGGTGACTCGCGAGTTGATTTATACCGGTGGGCAAGAACCTCGTGGCAAAAGCTCGTTGCCTTGCTCATTGCCTCAGCGAGCGCCCCGCTCTGTACTCACTTTGAACAATGGAATTGCGTTCGCGACGTCAATCTCTCTGTATTATTCACCTCGCTCCTGCGCTCCTTTATATCCCTAGCCGTTCCCCTTTTCTGCCACGTTTTCTGTCTCTCTTTTTTTCGAAAGCACCCCGCGTCCACGTCCGTCTCGCTTCCTCCACCTGTCCCGCCGCCTCCTCCTCCACCGTGTAACCTGTGTTGCGCCGTCCCGGCGAGAGAAAAATAAATCGAAAGTCCCGCGATCGTTTAAAATGGTGTTAAAATCATTCCCGCGGCTCCCTTTTCATCGGCCGGCTAACGCCTCTTGCGGGTGTGTCTTCCATGTTACATTTAACGATCCCTCTAATTTCACGGGTATCAGTTCAAGGTTCGTACGGAATTCCGACGATCGAGGCGTCGCGTCGCGTCGCACTGTGGAACGAATCTCGGCGTTCTAGGTGGAATAAAAAAAAAACTCGCGTCAGGAAATAGATGTAGGGTAGAGGTGACGAATATGAGACCCATATTATTTCGAAATCATAATTTTCGATTGGAAACACCTCTATTGAAAGTACATATGCGTTTGAAAACTAAACTATGTATTCTTTCGCGATCTACTGGAAAGTGCAAGAAAAATGTTCCTCTTTTTCGTGATAAAGGAAAAAAGTATGGAATTTACAGATTTTTCATTTTTTTTTTCATCGAGAACTCACAGGTTTGGAAGATGGGTTCCTAATACGAAGCCCAGTTTGGTTCTCCCGAGGAAATTTATTTTCATTTACTATTATTTTGTGTGTTTCTTCAACTACACACTCCTCGCGGACCTATTGATTACGTTTTATGACCTCTGCAAACATTCTGCGTCATAATTTTCTTCAAAATTACTTTTTCATCATTTAGAATAATTTATTTTTCATAAAGAATAATTCAATAAATAATATTCAATTTATATATATATATATATATATATAAAATTGAATATTCTTTATTGAATATATTATAATATATATTATATCTTTATTGAATATATAATATATATTCTTTATTGAAATTTATAATATTCAATTTTCATAAAGAATAATTTCTTTTTCATAATTATTTGATAATATTTATTAGCTGATGGTTCTTCTTTATAATTCTGGTTTTTTGAAATTGTCATTTCTTAATTTAGCATTATAGTAAAAACTTCTAAATGTCTGACATTTGAAAACAATAACAAGCCAAATATTAAGGAATTTTTAGGATAGCTCTTCAATCTTTAATGATGTGTAACTAGTAAATGTTAAACTGAATGCTAAGCTTCATTGATTGCACTATACAATAATATATGTATATAAAAATAATTATGCACTTAGTATATTTGAGATATTTATAATCTAATCGAAATACTTCAAA